TACAAACCTCACTCAAGGAAAAAGATCTTGGGGTGAGTATAACACCAGGCACATCTCCTGAAGCGCACATCAACCAAATAACTGCTGCAGCATATGGGCGCCTGGCAAACCTCAGAACAGCATTCCGACATCTTAATAAGGAATCATTCAGGACCCTGTACCCCTGTGTACGTTAGGCCCATATTGAGTATGCGGCACAATTTGGAACCCACACCTAGCCAAGCACATGAAGAAACTAGAGAAAGTGCAAAGGTTTGCAACAAGACTAGTCCCAGAGCTAAGAGGTATGTCCTTCGAGGAGAGGTTAAGGGAAATCAACCTGACGACACTGGAGGACAGGAGAGATAGGGGAGACATGATAACGATATACAAAATACTGAGAGGAATTGACAAGGTGGACAAAGACAGGATGTTCCAGAGATTGGACACAGTTGGAAGCTGAAGACACAGATGAATCACAGGGATGTTAGGAAGTATTTCTTCAGCCACAGAGTAGTCAGTAAGTGGAATAGTTTGGGAAGCGATGTAGTGGAGGCAGGATCCATACATAGCTTTAAGCAGAGGTATGATAAAGCTCACGGCTCAGGGAGAGTGACCTAGTAGCGATCAGTGAAGAGGCGGGGCCAGGAGCTCGGACTCGACCCCCGCAACCTCAACTAGGTGAGTACAACTAGGTGAGTACCACACACACACACACACACACACACACACACACACACACACACACACAGGAGCTCGGACTCGGGGCCAGGAGCTCGGACTCGACCCCCGCAACCTCAACTAGGTGAGTACACACACAGGTCTGCCATCCCAAATCTGGCAATCAGTTATTCGGTTCCTTCAGTTATTCGGCACTAATTTTGGCTAGCATAATTTCAAATTTCCAGGGTCGCCACACCAACCTGCTGGTACTGTTTGGTGGCGCTACTTGCTGCATAAGTCATTCCAATTTCTTTTTCTCCATTTATTGTTTTAACCTGCTTACTTTTAGCCCTAGCCATGGTTCCAATGAACAAAAGAAATGCTTCTCATTATGTAAAGCACCTACACAGTACATTATCCATTAAAGATAAGGTGGCTTTGAAGCCACTGTCAGTTGCCATGAGCTCAGTCTCATGAAGCAGGAGAATATGCTTTATTATTACGCTAATATCAACACTACAGCTTATTTGCTTATCACAATTGATCTAATATGACATAAGAAACAATATAAATAACATAAAATACATTAAATACTCCAGAAGGAATAATATTTGGCATAACACCTAGCAGTTCGACAGAGTTATGAAGAAGATATGGTAAACAAATACCATTCTCTTATCCTTGTCTTGGTGGCTTATATTAGAGAAAACGGAGTGTAGCACAGGGCTAACTATGATATACACTCATACTCCACCATAAACATGAAACAAAAAAGTTATTTTCTCTCTATAGATTATCACACATAGCAGCATATGTGTAGAGAACCTAGGATAACCCCGAAAAAGTCAACGTGGCTTATTTTTAGTACCTGGCTTGGGTTAGCCATATATGATTTTTGGTAAATATTCGATTCCCAGCCAGGGTAGAAATATTAGGCGTGTTTCTTTACACCTGTTGTCTATGTTTACCCATCAGTAAATGGGTACCTGGGTGTTAGTCGACTAGTGTGGGTGGTATCCTGGGACACTGACCTAATTTTCTTGAAATACTCAGCATAACAAGTGCCTTTCTATACAGTAGTATGTCACTGATGTCAGCTAGGCCTGTATACCTTGTACATGTATGTGTAGTAAATAAAGATATTATTATTATTATTATTACATATATTATTACTATTTTCTCAGTTGTTTGTTGGGTTATCTTATTCAAACTTGGGCAATGTATGATGGAAAGATACTTCTTCACATACACCAAAAATGAAAGAAATCAGACAATAAATAGCAGAGTTCACTTCTCAGCCATTAGCGGTATATTTTTGTATGGCTGTTATGGTTATATTCTCATTTTTTCAGTCTCATTTGATAGAATGAAAGATATATTACAGAAATAGATATGATTTTGATTGCTTTCATGACGAAAAGTACCTTGAAATTGCACTCACAGTAGCGAAAATGTTCTATTCTTTAGCGAAGCTCAAGAGTAAACAAATGACGTCACCGTCCAATACCTGTCTGCATGCCAGTCCAAATTCCAGTACGGAGTCAAGAATGGATTTACATTATTTATACAATTATTACAATAATGCAGTAGTCTGCATAACAGTAAATCTTCTATGTTTTTGTGAATAAAAATTCCAAATGGTAAGCAAGAGTAATATAAGAGGGGCCTGTAGCCATGACTAATGAACAGAGAAAATGTTAAACCATACCACAGGCGGGATTTGAACCCGCGGTCAGAGTGTCTCAAAACTCCAGACCGTCGCGTTAGCCACTGGCTAGCTGGTCCAGTGGCTAACGCGACGGTCTGGAATTTTGAGACTCTCTGACCGCGGGTTCAACCCGTGGTATGGTTTGTTTGCAATCGTGTCATTACGATTTCGTGAGTCGAGTCGAGAAAATGTTATTTTAGTGCCAGGAATATCTGTATTGTTTATTCTGGACCCACTTTGAAACTGGCATCTGTTGAAATTTGTGTGAAATTGGCAAAATTGCCAATTTTTGACCACTTTATTGGGTAGTTGAAATAAGTGAATGGGCAGTTTCTTATACTCAGTTGACAGACTAGAAGTAAATAAGTTTATTCAGATATACACAAATACAGTTGCATAGATTATCATGTATAGCAGCATATGTATAGAGAACCTGGGATAACCCAGAAAAGTCAGACAAAGTGACTTATTTCCAGTACCTGGCTTGAGCTTGCCATATATGATTTTTGGTAAATATTTTTTTTGGGGGCTATCTCATTGAAACTTGGGCAATATATGATGGAAAGATGCTTCTTAACGTACAACAAAAATAAAAAAGATGGACAATAAATAAGGGAGTTCACTTCTCAGCCATTAGCCGCCTCCTCGCAGTATATTCTCGTATAGTTTTTATGGTTGTATTCTCATTTTTTGGGCTCATTTGATAAAATGGAAGATATATTACAGAAATAGACATGATTTTGATTGCTTTCATAACGAAAAGTACCTTGAAATTGAGCTCAAAGTAGCGGAAATGTTCCAATTTTGCCGATGTTCAATGAACTGTGTAAGTCAAGTTGGTTAATTTTATTAAGTGTATTCTAACCTAACCACTGTAATTCAGCAAACTCAGTAATCCGGCACACTACAGGTCCCAATGATGCCGGATTTGTGATGGAGGACCTGTGTGTGTGTGTGTGTGTGTGTGTGTGTGTGTGTGTGTGTGTGTGTGTGTGTGTGTGTGTGTGTGTGTGTGTGTGTGTGTGTGGTGTGTGTGTGTGTGTGTGTATATATATATATATATATTATATATATATATATTTTATATAATATATATATATATATATATATATTTTTTTTTTTTCAACAAGTTGGCCGTCTCCCACCGAGAAGGGATTCAGGGAAACCGGTTATTTTCATATAGTCGGACTTGAGTCCTGGAAATGGGAAGTACAATGCCTGCACTTTAAAGGAAGGGTTTGGGATATTGGCAGTTTGGAGGGATATGTTGTGTATCTTTATACGTATATGCTTCTAAACTGTTGTATTCTGAGCACCTCTGCAAAAGCAGTGATAATGTGTGAGTGTGGTGAAAGTGTTGAATGATGATGAAAGTATTTTCTTTTTGGGGATTTTCTTTCTTTTTTGGGTCACCCTGCCTCGGTGGGAGACGGCCGACTTGTTGAAAAAAAAAAAAAAAAAAAAAAATTATATATAATAATATATATATATATATATATATATATATTATATATTAATATATATATATATATATATATATATATATATATTTATAAATGTGTTGTGTTGGGGTTTTTGTGTGTGTGTGTGGTGTGTGTGTGTGTGTGTGTGTGTGTGTGTGTGTTTTGTGTGTGTGTGTGTGTGTGAGTTGTGTAGAGTGTGTGGTGTGAGAGTGTGTGTGAGAGTTGTGTGTGAGAGTGTGTGTGAAGTGTGTGTGAGAGTGTGTGTGAATGTGTGTGTGAATGTGGTGTGTGAATGTGTGTGTGAATGTGTGTGTGTGTGTGTGTGTGTGTGTGTACTCACCTAGTTGTACTCACCTATTGAGGTTGCAGGGGTCGAGTCCAAGCTCCTGGCCCCGCCTTTCATGGTCGCTACTAGGTCACCTCCCTGAACGATGAGCTTTATCGTACCTCTGCTTAAGCTATATGGATCCTGCCTCCACTACATCGCTTCCCAAACTATTCCCCTTCCTGACTACTCTTGGCTGAAGAAATACTTCTAACATCCCTTTGATTCATCTGTTGGTCTTCAGCTTCCAACTGTGTCCCGTGTTGCTGTGTCCATCTCTGGAACACCTGTCTTTGTCCACCTTGTCAATTCCTCTCAGTATTTTGTAAGTCGTTATCATCCCCCCTATCTCTCCTGTCCTCCAGTGTCGTCAGGTTGATTTCCCTTAACCTCTCCTCATAGGACATACCTCTTAGCTCTGGGACTAGTCTTGTTGCAAACCTTTGCACTTTCTCTAGTTTCTTGACATGCTTGACCAGGTGTGGGTTCCAAACTGGTGCTGCGTACTCCAATATGGCCTGACGTACCCGAGTGTACAGGTCTTGAATTTCCTTACTAAGTACCGGAACGCTTTCTCCAGTTTTGCCAGGTGCCATATCTGTAGCAGTTATCTGGTTTATGTGTGCATCCGGAGTCGTCCTCGGTATTACACTCACCCAAAGATCTTTCTCCTTGAGTGGTCTTTGTCCACCTAACCTACATTATGTCTGCGGTCTTCTTTGCCCTTCCCCTCATGATCTTGGTAATGCCCCTGATTCTGCCTGCATCTTTGTCCTCACAAAGAAGAAATAAAGAGTAAGCATATAACATTTTGGTATTGACTGCAAATGATAAGGAAACAAACTACTCATACACAACTCACCTACATTACATTTACTGCCATGAAGTCTGTAACCAGGACGGCACAAGCATGTATAACCAGTAGGCTGCTTAAGGAGACAAATGTGTGCACAAGGGTTGGAAACACATGGATTTTCCTCAGAAGGCTGTTGAAAAGAAAAATATTTAACCTATGTAATAAATGACTTAACTTTATCATGCAAAGAAATTCTTTGTTACACACAATGAAAAAGTATCAAAGATGTGACAAAAAGATTTACTCAAAATTTCTGTGACTAAAACCAACAAAAATCAATGGCATTTAAGACATTTAGATAGCTGAGTTATCCAGAAACTTATCCAAAGTCCCAGTGATCCCTATCTCAGTAAGTCTCAAGACAAAACTATGTACTGTATTTTATGAAGTCTTAAATGTAACTGCCTCACTGCCTTCTTCTCTTCCACTCTCTCCTATCTCTCTTTCCCCTTTCTCTTATTATTTTTACTCTCACCATTCTTCTCCATCACCCTACTCTTCCATATGAGCACAGAGGAGTAAATATTGGTGAGCAAGTGTAGTCAAGCATATGGCTGAGGTGTGACTGAGCAGGCATAGTTGAGTACTCATGGTTGAAGTGTGGTTGAGCAGGTAAAATCAGTTGCTCAGCCAACGCCATCACACACATTCCTTCCAGGCTCAAAGGGGTAGATTAATCACGACCATACTCTTCATTCAGCTACTCAGACTGGATTTTTCAATAGTATTCTTCATAGGTGGAAAACTTCCCTTTTAGCAACAACTACTGCCTACACGTTTCCATAACAAAATAAAACCAACACAAATGACACTTGACAAGGGAGGGCTGCTCATTAACCAGACTTTTTTTTAAAGCAATGACTTGTAATTTTTCAATTATGAGGTAATGGAATAATATAATATCTTGAGGCATAGAACAATAATATATTATCTTGAGGCATGGAACAATATATTATCTTGAGGCATGGAATAATATATTATCTTGAATTCAATGTCGCATTGTTCAATAGAGCTACATTTAAAAGACTTTTTTGAAATGAGAAACTTATACACTACACTGGCCTCCAAATATGTGGAAAGTAAAATAATAAAAAGCTGGTGACAACACATTAGATAGGTCTGTACTGAAATAATATAGGAAATTTTAAAGGATATGCTATATAATTGAATGGGATCTGGGTAGGATTAGGAAGAAGTACATGATACAACCAAAAGGAAATCATTTCTTAATTTATTTTTGTAAACTAAACATTCAATAGGGCAGACAAAAAAAAAAGTTGAGCTACTTTAAACATAGACAGGTAATTAAAATGGGTAATTAAAGTGTCTGCTCACCTTATAACACATTTAGCAATCCTTGAAATACACAAATAAACTTTGTATAAGTCTTAATATTACCTACAACTTTCCATACTACTAATGTACACTCTATACTTTTATGAAATTACCTGTAAAATGGGATGGTGTACATGTATGCTCAGTGGCTGTGATACCAGATGTGACACAACAGTCTCATTCTTGCCACTGAACTTGTGTGCTGACAAAACTCTGTTGAGCTGACGGTCAGTCCAGTAAACATTGTCTTCAAAAATAGATAGAGAGTGTGGATGCAGCAGGTAATGGCTCTGAGACAGCACCTGAATAAAACATTTTAGTTATTACTGAACTTGCATTTGTATTATTACTTTTTTTTTTCAACACAGCAGCCATCTCCCACCGAGGCAGGGTGACTCAAAAAAGAAACACTTTCACCATTATTCAAAACTTTCACCATCATTCACACAATATCACTGTCTTTGCAGAGGTGTCCAGATATGACAGTTCAGATGTCACTCCAAACAGCCAATATCCCAAACTCCTCCTTTAAAGTGCAGGCATTGTACTTCCCACCTCCAGTTATAATTTCTAATTAATAATTTAAATTTTAAAATTTAATAATTCTTACCAATAATTCAGACTAAAAAACAAATTCCTATCACAAGGATATAATATCCAGATTGGGGTTCACAAGCTCTATGCTTGTTACTATTAAGAACATAATAAAAACTACCTTCTTTATAAGTTTGTTAAAAAATTTAAATAAACACAAAAGTTAATTCTGTATTTGCATATCAAGCTGTGAAACACTAAAATACAAAAATTAATAACCACCATTAATAAGGTCTTAACTATAAAAATCTTAAAAATCTATAAGGTAATTACTGGAATTTATACAGGAACCACTCACAGATTACATTACTACTATTAACTTTACTTAGTAACAATTGTTTTAAAAAACACATAAAAACTTTCTCTTGATTATATATAAACATTTGTCTGATAATAGGAACCTCATTTGTTTCCTCCGTATACAAGCAAACACCCAAAAAGTCACAGCTGTTACATATGCCCAGAAAATCTGTAATGAACCTCCAGTATTGATTATTCCACAAAACTCACTTTTTTTTTTGTTTTCACTATGAAACTTCAGTTATGATTCTTCTTTCAATCTTTAAAGGTTCATAATATTGTAATTTCAATTTTGCAATCTGGGGAGTCAGTGCATATACCTCCCTCCACTCAAGCCCATAGCACTATTAACTTAAGTCAACAGGCACTGTGAGCATACACAAATAACCCGCACATTAGAGAAACTTATGATGAGATTTCGGTCAGACTGAAACACTGTCATAAGTTTCATTCTCTTATTTTTTTTTTTAACAAGTCGGCTGTCTCCCACCGAGGCAGGGTGACCCAAAAAGAAAGAAAATCCCCAAAAAGAAAATATTTTCATCATCATTCAACACTTTCACCTCACTCACACATAATCACTGTTTTTGCAGAGGTGCTCAGAACACAACAGTTTAGAAGCATATACATGTACATATAAAGATACACAACATATCCCTCCAAACTGCTAATATCCCGAATCCCTCCTTTAGAGTGCAGGCATTGTACTTCCCATTTCCAGGACTCAAATTCGGCTATATAAAAATAACAGGTTTCCCTGAATCTCTTCACTAAATATTACCCTGCTCACACTCCAACAGATCGTCAGGTCCCAAATATCATTTGTCTCCATTCACTCCTATCGAACAAGCTCATGCATGCCTGCTGGAAGTCCAAGCCAATCGCCCACACAACCTCCCTTACCCCTTCCTTCCAACCTTTTCGAGGATGACCCCTACCCCGTCTTCCTTCCCTTACAGATTTAAATGCTCTCCATGTCATTCTACTTTGATCCATTCTCTCTAAATGACCAAACCACCTCAACAACCCCTCTTCAGCCCTCTGACTAATACTTTTATTAACTCCACACCTTCTCCTAATTTCCACACTCCGAATTTTCTGCATAACATTTACACCACACATTGCCCTTAGACAGGACATCTCCACTGCCTCCAACCGCCTCCTCACTGCTGCATTCACAACCCAAGCTTCACACCCACATAAGTGTGTTGGTACTACTATACTTTCATACATTCCCTTCTTTGCCTCCATAGATAACATTTTTTGTCTCTACATATATCTCAATGCACCACTCACCTTTTTTCCCTCATCAATTCTACGATTAACCTCATCCTTCATAAATCCATCCACCGACACGTCAACTCCCAAGTATCTGAAAACATTCACTTCTTCCATACTCCTCCTCCCCAATTTGATATCCAATTTTTCTTTATCTAAATCATTTGATACCCTCATCACCTTACTCTTTTCTATGTTCACTTTCAACTTTCTACCTTTACACACACTCCCAAACTCATCCACTAACCTTTGCAATTTTTCTTTAGAATCTCCCATAAGCACAGTATCATCAGCATAAAGCAACTGTGTCAATTCCCATTTTGTATTTAATTCCCCATAATTTAATCCCACCCCTCTCCTGAACACCCTAGCATTTACTTCTTTTACAACCCCATCTATAAATATATTAAACAACCATGGTGACATTACACATCCCTGTCTAAGACCTACTTTTACTGGGAAGTAGTCTCCCTCTCTTCTACACACCCTAACCTGAGCCTCACTATCCTCATAAAAACTCTTTACAGCATTTAGTAACTTACTACCTATTCCATACATTTGCAACATCTGCCACATTGCTCCCTTATCCACTCTATCATATGCCTTTTCTGAATCCATAAATGCAATAAAAACTTCCCTACCTTTATCTAAATACCGTTCACATATATGCTTGATCTACACATTCCTTACCCACTCTGAAACCTCCTTGCTCATCCGCAATCCTACATTCTGTCTTACCTCTAATTCTTTCAATTATAACCCTACCATACACTTTTCCTGGTATACGTACTCAGTAAACTTATTCCTCTATAATTTTTACAATCTCTTTTGTCCCCCTTCCCTTTATACAAAGGGACTATACATGCTCTATGCCAATCCCTAGGTACCTTCCCCTCTTTCATACATTTATTAAACAAAAATACCAACCATTCCAACACTATGCGTCCCCCTGCTTTTAACATTTCTGTCATGATCCTATCAGTTCCAGCTGCTTTACCCCCTTTCATTCTACTTAATGCCTCACACACCTCCCCCACACTCACATCCTGTTCTTCTTCACTCCTAAAAGATGGTATACCTCCCTGGCCAGTGCATGAAATTACCGCTTCCCTTTCTTCGTCGACATTTAAAAGTTCCTCAAAATATTCTCGCCATCTACCCAAAACCTCCATCTCCCCATCTGCTTTGTAAAAACCTCTCATAAGCTAACTTTTTGTCTTTTATCACACCCTTTACTTCATCATTCCACCAATTACTCCTCTTTCCTCCTGCACCCACCCTCCTATAACCACAAACTTCTGCCCCACATTCTAATACTGCATTTTTAAAACTATTCCAACCCTCTTCAACCCCCCCACTACTCATACTTGCACCAGCCCACCTTTCTGCCAATAGTTGCTTATATCTCACCCGAACTTCCTCCTCCCTTAGTTTATACACTTTCACCTCCCTCTTGCTTGTTGTTGCCATTTTCCTCTTTTCCCATCTACCTCTTACTCTAACTGTAGCTACGACTAATTAATGATCCGATATATCAGTTGCCCCTCTATAAACGTGTACATCTTGGAGCCTACCCATCAACCTTTTATCCACCAATACATAATCTAACAAACTACTTTCATTACATACTATATCATACCTTGTATATTTATTTATCCTCTTCTTCATAAAATATGTATTACTTATTACCAAACCTCTTTCTACACATAGCTCAATTAAAGGCTCCCCATTTTCATTTACCCCTGGCACCCCAAATTTACCTACTACTCCCTCCACAACATTTTTGCCCACTTTAGCATTGAAAACCCCAACCACCATTACTCTCACACTTGGTTCAAAACTCCCCACACATTCACTCAACATTTCCCAAAATCTCTCTCTCCCTCTTCTACACTTCTCTCTTCTTCAGGTGCATATAGGCTTACTATAACCCACTTTTCACATGCAACCTTTATTTTACTCCACATAATCCTTGAATTAATACATTTATAGTCCCTCTTTTCCTGCCATAACTTATCCTTCAACATTATTGCTACTCCTTCTTTAGCTCTAACTCTATTTGAAGCCCCTGACCTAATCCCATTTATTCCTCTCCACTGAAACTCTCCCACCCCCTTCAGCTTTGTTTCACTTAAAGCCAGGATATCCAGCTTCTTCTCATTCATAACAACCACAATCATCTCTTTCTTATCATTTGCACAACATCCACGCACATTCAGACTTCCCACTTTGACAATTTTCTTCTTCTTATTCTTTTTGGTAATTATTATATTATTTTTATTAATTATCTCTTATACTCCTGTATATTGCTCCAGTCATGGTATTGTTCCTGTTTATTCTTATGTGTAGTAGTTTTTTGGATTTCCGGTGCTGTTGTTGGAGGGTGAGCAACAATACATTCATGAAGAGTTTCAGGGAAACCAGTGAACCAAACTTGAGGTCTAAAAATGGGAAGTTGAGTGGCAGTCAGTACCATGAAGGATGGGCGAGGAAGTAGCGGTCGAAGGTCATTTGAACTGTGATGTCTTTATGCTTATTTTTTTTTTTTTTTTTATCACACTGGCCGATTCCCACCATGGCAGGGTGACCCGAAAAAGAAAAACTTTCACCATCATTCACTCCATCACTGTCTTGCCAGAAGGGTGCTTTACACTACAGTTTTTAAACTGCAACATTAACACCCCTCCTTCAGAGTGCAGGCACTGTACTTCCCATCTCCAGGACTCAAGTCCGGCCTGCCGGTTTCCCTGAACCCCTTCATAAATGTTACTTTGCTCACACTCCAACAGCACGTCAAGTATTAAAAACCATTTGTCTCCATTCACTCCTATCAAACACGCTCACGCATGCCTGCTGGAAGTCCAAGCCCCTCGCACACAAAACCTCCTTTACCCCTCCCTCCAACCTTTCCTAGGCCGACCCCTACCCCGCCTTCCTTCCACTACAGACTGGTACACTCTTGAAGTCATTCTGTTTCGCTCCATTCTCTCTACATGTCCGAACCACCTCAACAACCCTTCCTCAGCCCTCTGGACAACAGTTTTGGTAATCCCGCACCTCCTCCTAACTTCCAAACTATGAATTCTCTGCATTATATTCACACCACACATTGCCCTCAGACATGACATCTCCACTGCCTCCAGCCTTCTCCTCGCTGCAACATTCATCACCCATGCTTCACACCCATATAAGAGCGTTGGTAAAACTATACTCTCATACATTCCCCTCTTTGCCTCCAAGGACAAAGTTCTTTGTCTCCACAGACTCCAAAGTGCACCACTCACCCTTTTCCCCTCATCAATTCTATGATTTACCTCATCTTTCATAGACCCATCCGCTGTAATCTTTTTGTTATCCTCATAACCTTACTCTTTCCTGTATTCACTTTCAATTTTCTTCTTTTGCACACCCTACCAAATTCATCCACCAATCTCTGCAACTTCTCTTCAGAATCTCCCAAGAGCACAGTGTCATCAGCAAAGAGCAACTGTGACAACTCCCACTTTATGTGTGATTCTTTATCTTTTAACTCCACGCCTCTTGCCAAGACCCTCGCATTTACTTCTCTTACAACCCCATCTATAAATATATTAAACAACCACGGTGACATCACACATCCTTGTCTAAGGCCTACTTTTACTGGGAAATAATTTCCCTCTTTCCTATATACTCTAACTTGAGCCTCACTATCCTCGTAAAAACTCTTCACTGCTTTCAGTAACCTACCTCCTACACCATACACCTGCAACATCTGCCACATTGCCCCCCTATCCACCCTGTCATACGCCTTTTCCAAATCCATAAATGCCACAAAGAACTCTTTAGCCTTATCTAAATACTGTTCACTTATATGTTTCACTGTAAACACCTGGTCCACACACCCCCTACCTTTCCTAAAGCCTCCTTGTTCATCTGCTATCCTATTCTCCGTCTTACTCTTAATTCTTTCAATAATAACTCTACCATACACTTTGCCAGGTATACTCAACAGACTTATCCCCCTATAATTTTTGCACTCTCTTTTATCCCCTTTGCCTTTATACAAAGGAACTATGCATGCTCTCTGCCAATCCCTAGGTACCTTACCCTCTTCCATACATTTATTAAATAATTGCACCAACCACTCCAAAACTATATCCCCACCTGCTTTTAACATTTCTATCTTTATCCCATCAATCCCAGCTGCCTTACCCCCTTTCATTTTACCTACTGCCTCACGAACTTCCCCCACACTCACAACTGGCTCTTCCTCACTCCTACAAGATGTTGTTCCTCCTTGCCCTATACACGAAATCACAGCTTCCCTATCTTCATCAACATTTAACAATTCCTCAAAATATTCCCTCCATCTTCCCAATACCTCTAACTCTCCATTTAATAACTCTCCTCTCCTATTTTTAACTGACAAATCCATTTCTCTAGGCTTCCTTAACTTGTTAATCTCACTCCAAAACTTTTTCTTGTGCTTATGGCAAGACAATAAGAGAATAAGCATCTAAAAAGACACTTATGTACAGTTAAGGACATTTATCCATGGAAGCTTTTTGCCACTTGTGGTAAAATGTTGTCTCTGATAAACATCTTGAAGTGAATGTAAGTGCCTTTTTACACATCTTGTCATTATCATATTTACTTTTAGAGAATGAGTGGTAGTGAATGTATTTCCTTCTCTTCTTTGACTCACCCAGCCATGGTGGAAAATGGCTGTATTAAAAATTTACAAATAAATGAGGAATATTAAATTATTAATTAAGTTTTAATAATATATGTACTCACTTGCTGTCTCCCAGTTCCATCATAATTGCAGAAATCTATATAGTCTAGTTTTGAATCAGCAAAGTAGATGCGTCTATTTGGAATGTCTACAGTAAGTCCATTGGGCCAAAATATCTTGGAGTTGATTATAACAGATCGTTTCTGGCCATCAAGGCTTACTCGTTCAATTCGAGGATTTTCTCCCCAGTCAGTCCAAAATAGCCAGCGAGAACTGTAGAAAAAGACATGCATATAATGTCATAAAATACAAGAATTTCAAGTTACTGTAATAAACTATAGCCGTGTAACACAGATTAACAATGTACAGAAGCTCTTCACTTTACAACGGTTTGACTTACGACATTCTGACTTTACGATGATACAACAGTGATGCACATTCTGTACTGTATAGTGATGTACATTTAATAATAGGATAAACTTGTATTCATTTATTTACTTTCAATACTGGTATTTAGTTATTCAGTTATTTACTTATGCAGTGACTGTAATTTCTTTCTTTATTTATTTATTTATTTATTTATTTATTTATCGTATCATTTTAATATTTGTCTTACGATATTTTCAATTTATGATAGGTCTTCGGAACATAATTCCATTGTAAGTCGAGGAGTACCATTAATAACCCTTTGAGGGTTATTAACATGTAATAACATATGTAACATGTTCACAGGGTCCAAGAATTTTCTTGGACCCTGTGAAATGACAAGAGAATTTTTTTTTTTATTAAATGATAAGAGAATCTTTTTCTAAAGGTAGTGACATCAAGAATACAAAATTTGATGGAAAACTTCTAGAATTATGCTTTCACAAGTTAGCAGTGTTGGTGATTTTGCCCACTTTGAGTTCTATTTTAGACCAATTCCATGGTTGCAGTCAACCAAACTCTTAGCTAGTATGCCTTCCATTCTATCAACTGAGTACAAGAAACCACCCATTTAACTACTTTAACTACCCAATAAAGTGATCAAAAATTGATAATTTGACCAATTTCACACAAAATTCAAAAATTGACAATTTAAAAATAGGGTCCAGAAAAAACAATGTAGACATTCCTGGCACTAAAACAACATTTTGTCTCTTCATTAGTTATGTCCCCAAACCTCTCCTATAACACACATGCTTTCCATTTCAAATTTTTATTCACACAAAAAACAGATGATATACTTTTGTGATGAATACTGCATTACTGTAATAATTGTATAAATAATGTCAGCACAGTCATGAATGCATATCAGACAGACCAGTTCGATACATACTGACGTAATTTGTGTTCTCTGGAATATTGGTAAAAATCTAACATATCTGCTACTTTGAGTTCAATTTCAAGCTACTTTCAGCCCTGAAACCAATCAAAATCATCTCTACTTCTATAATATATATAACTTCCATTCTATCAAATGATACCAAGAAACTGAGAATACAATCATAAAAACCATCCAAAAATACACTGCTAAGTCGTTGTTTTAAACTAAATACATGGTCACATTTTTTCCCCAACATACAGTTGAGAAAGCATATGACACAACTTGGAGGTATAACATCTTGGCCCAGGCCCACTCCTTAGGCCTCTGAGGCAATCTACCATTTTTCCTTAAGAATTTCTTAACTGAGAGACATTTCCGGCAGGGTTTTTTATATGGAGTACACTCACCACATAGACCCATTCTCTTGTATCTAGGCCCAAATTTACCACTCAGAGCTTATCTGAGTGAGCTGAGCTCATCACAAACTGCTAGGACACAGACCCTTGTAACTGGTAATGTACCACCTCGTATGGCATGTGGTGTACATATCCCTGCTTTCTCCAGCACTGGTTGCACATTTGTCCGTTGAATGCTCAACCCTGTTGAGCATATGACTGTCTCGGTTTGTTCCACTGTTGTGCACTTCTGCACCATGTGTTATACTTCCCTGTTTGTGCCCTTTATCGGGGGTTTGCTCATTTCTCTTAACGTCTAAAAAAAAAACCTGCTCATTATTGATACGCTGCTTTCTCTGTAGCACCAAGCTCCTTTCAAATGGTTGTTTGGGTAGCTAAGGTCATAGCATTTCTCAAGCAGTACTGAAGCTTTGTACATCTGTGGATGGAAGTATCTGCATTCCTTTGCAAAGTGACACTTCCTTTACCTTTTCATATTTGAACATTTTTTGGTGTGTTGATACCAGCATTTTCTCCCATATATGCACATCCCTTTAGCATAATATTAAAGAATACTGAAGGATGAAAAATGTATTTCTCCATTAGGCTTCAATGGCCCACTAGAAATATAGCTGCCACTTTCACACTTGCATTTACCTTTTTAAGGCCCAGTGAGAACTAAATCATATTTTTCTACCTGAATCAACTCTTCTTGCCTCTGCTTTACTTGTCACTATCTTTCACTAGCAAGTTATATTCTATATGCTAAGCACAATGACATTTTATACAAACCTATGGTATTCCCATGTTTCCAAAACAACTTTTATTTTTTTATCATTCTAACTCATCCATTTTAATATGTTACCCTTTTCCTTCTCTTAATTTGACTTGTCCACCCACTTAAGCTTTAAAAATTCCTTTTGTATTCTCAGTTTAATAATCATGGAAAGGAACTTTTTTCCATGAATCATTTTCTACAGGTATTCATCAATCCATTGTCTAATCTTTAACCATCTCCACTGGTAACCAATTTTATAATAATTTTACCTGATCTATTGGTACACATCAACCAATTATGTACTCATTTAATTAACAAAATCTACCAGAAATCATCAACCCAATTTCTACTCAATTTATCATACCTTTGATGAGTTTTGAGACAGAGAGTCTACCTACTCCCGGAGCCAGCCATGGGCCATATTTTATGGCAAATAGCTCTGGGAGTCTCTGCTAGCAAAAAAATAAAAAATTATAAATTATCCTGAAAAGCATTATTACTACTTACCCTTCCAATGGATCAATGGAAAGTCCTCTTGGTTGAGAGATATTTTTGTTGAGCAGAATGATGCGGAATGTGCCATCTCTCCGTGAGACTTCCAAAGCATTAAGGCGAGAGTCTACCCAATATATATTACCAGTGATCCAGTCATAAGCCAAACCTTCTACAAGGTCCAACCCACTACCAATTAACTGAAAGCATTGTCCAAAAAAATATATAATTACAAATTTATTAGTTATGGATGCTATTATTTGCTAAAAACATCATGGTAAAATTCTGCATGCATCATAGCAAATATATTAATAGAATATTTATTATTTTTAATTCCCACTAACTGTAAAATACAAATACAGTAATTAAAACTAATCATAACAAAACTGTATTTTACGTGACTAAATTTTTATTCTCTCTCAAAAAATGAATAAAAATCTGAGGAACACTTCTGCTACAATGGGGAAAGTAAGAAAGGCTAACCATTTCCCTCAATTATGATTTTTATCTTTGGTTACTCTCAAACTATAGTGCTCCTGCTACACTGGTTACTACATTACCTCCACTCTTCTTTTTTTTTCCTTTATGTATTTGTGTTTTTCTACCGTTCTACATTTCTTCTCTTCTACATTCTTGCTTGAATGTTTCTCTTGATGATAGCCTTCATTCTTTCTAGATGGCAGAGCAGCAACACATTTACAACAGTATGATCAGCATGAAAAACTTTGAAGGATATTAAAACTGCTTCTTTCCCACAACATTGGAGGAGTATCAACTCTCTGAGGAGTACTATACGAAAATAGCAAGCTCTCAGGTAACTGCTACTGCAGTACTACATATTGGATTATTGTTACTACTGCATGTTACCTTCACTATTGTCCCCTCAAGGGAGGTTCCTTGATGCTGGTGAAGCACTCATGATCCAAGGAATTTGACTTTTCCTCCACTTCCATCAAACAAAAATGATTGCCTCCCATTACTAAGGCACTGTTTAACCCTTTGGGGGTCGACAGGTCCTCTCAGAGACTTGTTCTCAGGGTCGGCCAAATTTCAAAAAAAAAAAAAATTATTTTTCTTATGAAAAGATAGAGAATCTTTTCCCGATCATAATGACACCAAAAGTATGAAATTTGATGGAAAACTTACGGAATTATGCTCTTGCGAAGTTAGTCTCGACGATGTTTACGCATCGGCGATTTTACCCACTTTGAGCCCTATTTTCGGCCAATTCCAGTGTACTAGTCGACAAAAATCATAACTATTTTGATAGAACTCCATTTTTTCTATCGAATGAGTACAAGAAACCATCCATTTACCGATTTCAAATATCGAATAAAGTGGTCAGAGTTTAGCAATTTTGCCAATTTCACACAAATTTCAAAAGATGCCAATTTCCGAATAGGGTCCAGAATAAACAAGAAAGACATTCCTGGCACTAAAGTAACAAGTTCTCTGTTCGTTAGTCACATCCCCAGGCCCCTCTTATATTTCTTTGGCTTTCCACTTTGAATTTTTATTCTTACAAAAAAAAATAAGATTTACTGTTATGCAGACTACTGCATTAGTGTAGAAATGGTATAAATAATATCAGCACACTTGTGAAAGAATATTAGACTCACCAGTTGATGTGTATTGGACGCTTAGCATGATTTGTTTACTTTTGAACCTTGGTAAAAATCAAACATTTCTGCTACTTTGAGCTCAATTTCAAGGTACTTTTCATTATAAAACCAGTCAAAACCATTTCAATTTCTGTAATATGTCTTCCATTCTATAAAATGAGAACAAGAAAACTAGAATACAACAATAAATACCATACGAAAATACAGTGCAAAGTCGCTGTTTTAATCCAAAAACACGGTCAAAGTTTTTTTTTCTCATTACGCACTGTGTGCTGCAGGATTTGTTTTATACTGCGCACACTGACCACATAGACCCAATCTTTCATATGTAGGCCTACCAGCTTTCTCTCACTAGATTTGAGGGCGCTAGAATTTAGGCATACTAGCACGTCAAAAACCCTGGGTCGTAAGACGTACTAGTACGTCCGAAACCCCAAAAGGGTTAATAAATGCATGGAAGAGACTAAGGTACCTAGGGATTGGCAGAGAACATACATAGTTCCTTGTATGAAGGAAAAGGGGATAAAAGAGAGTGCAAAAATTATAGGGGAAGAAGTCTGTTGAGTCCTAGGTAGTAGGTTGGTAGACAGCAACGGCCCAGGGAGGTACTACCATCTTGCCAAGTGAGTGTAAAACGAAAGCCTGTAATTGTTTTGCACGATGGTATGACTGCTGGTGTCTTTTTTCTGTCTCATAAACATGCAAGATTTCAGGTATGTCTTGCTACTTCTACTTACACTTACGTCCCATTACATATGCATGTACAAGCATATATATACACACCCCTCTGGGTGTTATTCTATTTTCTTACTAGTTCTTGTTCTTGCTTATTTCCTCTTATCTCCAACGGGAAGTGGAATAGAATTCATCCTCCATAAGCCATGTGTGTCGTAAAAGGAAGCTAAAATGCCGGGAGCAAGGGGATAGTTACCCCTTCTCCTGTATATATTACTAAATTTAAAAGGAGAAACTTTCATTTTTCCATTTGGGCCACACCGCCTCGGTGGGATACGGCCAGTGGATTGAAAGAAAGAAGTCCGTTGAGTATACCTTGTAAAATGTATGGTAGAGTTATTATTGAAAGAATTAAGAGTAAAATGGAGAGCAGGATAGCAAATGAACAAGGAGGCTTTAGAAAGGGTAGGGGTGTGTTGACAGTGTTTACAGTGAAACATATAGGTGAACAGTATTTAGGTAAGGCTAAAGAGGTCTTTGTGGCATTTATGGATTTGGAAAAGGCATATGACAGGGTGGATAGGGGGGCAATGTGGCAGATGTTGCAGGTGTATGGTGTAGGAGGTAGGTTACTGAAAGCAGTGAAGAGTTTTTACGAGGATAGGGAGGCTCAAGTTAGAGTATGTAGGAAAGAGGGAAATTATTTCCCAGTAAAAGTAGGCCTTAGACAAGGATGTGTGATGTCACCGTGGTTGTTTAATATATTTATAGATGGGGTTGTAAGAGAAGTAAATGCGAGGGTCTTGGCAAGAGGCGTGGAGTTAAAAGATAAAGAATCACACATAAAGTGGGAGTTGTCACAGTTGCTCTTTGCTGATGACACTGTGCTCTTGGGAGATTCTGAAGAGAAGTTGCAGAGATTGGTGGATGAATTTGGTAGGGTATGCAAAAGAAGAAAATTAAAAGTGAATACAGGAAAGAGTAAGGTTATGAGGATAACAAAAAGATTAGGTAATGAAAGATTGGATATCAGATTGGAGGGAGAGAGTATGGAGGAGGTGAATGTATTCAGATATTTGGGAGTGAGCGTGTCAGCGGATGGGTCTATGAAAGATGAGGTGAATCATAGAATTGATGAGGAGAAAAGGGTGAGTGGTGCACTTAGGAGTCTGTGGAGACAAAGAACTTTGTCCTTGGAGGCAAAGAGGGGAATGTATGAGAGCATAGTTTTACCAACGCTCTTATATGGGTGTGAAGCATGGGTGATGAATGTTGCAGAGAGAAGGCTGGAGGCAGTGGAGATGTCATGTCTGAGGGCAATGTGTGGTGTGAATATAATGCAGAGAATTCGTAGTTTGGAAGTTAGGAGGAGGTGCGGGATTACCAAAACTGTTGTCCAGAGGGCTCAGGAAGGGTTGTTGAGGTGGTTCGGACATGTAGAGAGAATGGAGCGAAACAGAATGACTTCAAGAGTGTATCAGTCTGTAGTGGAAGGAAGGCGGGGTAGGGGTCGGCCTAGGAAAGGTTGGAGGGAGGGGGTAAAGGAGGTTTTGTGTGCGAGGGGCTTGGACTTCCAGCAGGCATACGTGAGCGTGTTTGAAAGGAGTGAATGGAGACAAATGGTTTTTAATACTTGACGTGCTGTTGGAGTGTGAGCAAAGTAACATTTATGAAGGGGTTCAGGGAAACCGGCAGGCCGGACCCGAGTCCTGGAGATGGGAAGTACAGTGCCTGCACTCTGAAGGAGGGGTGTTAATGTTGCAGTTTAAAAACTGTAGTGTAAAGCACCCTTCTGGCAAGACAGTGATGGAGTGAATGATGGTGAAAGTTTTTCTTTTTTGGGCCACCCTGCCTTGGTGGGAATCGGCCAGTGTGATAATAAAAAAAATAAAAAAAAAAAAAGAGGTTTTAGTGGCATTTATGGATTTGGAAAAGGCATATGACAGGGTGGATGCAGAGGGGGGCAATGTAGCAGATGTTGCAAATGTATGGAATAGGGAGTAGGTTATTGGAATCAGTGAAGAGTTTTTATGAGGATAGTGAGGCTCAGGTTAGTATGTAGGGGAGAGGGAGATTATTTCCCAGTAAAAGTAGGCATTAGACAAGGATGTGTGATGGTTGTTCAGTATATTTACAGACGGAGTTTAAGAGAAGTGAATGCTCAGGTGTTGGCAAGAGGTGTGGAGTTAAAAGATAAAGAATCTAACACAGAGTGGGAGTTGTCACAATTGCTCTTTGCTGATGACACTGCATTTGGGAGATTCTGAAGAGAAGTTGCAGAGGTTGGTGGATGAGTTTGATAGGGTACATAAAACAAGAAAATTAAAAGTGAATACTGGAAAGAGTAAGGTGATGAGGATAACAAAAAAAAAATTAGGTAATGAAAGATTGGATATCAGATTGGAGGGAGAGAGAATGGAGACGATGAATGTATTCTTATATTTAGGAGTGGACATATCATCAGATGGGTCTATGAAAGATGACGTGAATCATAGAACTGATGAGTGGAAAAATGTGAGTGGTGCATTGAGGAGTCTATGGAGACAAAGAACTTTGTTCATGGAAGCAAAGAGGGGAATGTATGAGAGTATAGTTATACCAATGCTCTTATATGAGGAGAAGGCTGGAGGCAGTGGAGATGTCATGTCTGAGGGCAACATGTGGTGTGAATATAATGCAGGGAATTTGTAGTTTGGAAATTAAGAGGAGGTGCAGGACTACCAAAACTATTATCCAGAGGGCTGAGGAGGGGTTGTTGAGGTGGTTCAGACATGTAGAGAGGATGGAACAATACAGAATGACCTCGAGTGTGTATAAATCTGTAGTGGAGGGAAGTCGGGATCAGGATCAGGGTTGGGGTCGGCCTAGGAAACATTGGAGGGAGGAGGTAAAGGAGGTTTTGTGTGCCAGGGGCTTTAATTTCCAGCAAGTATGCATGAGCGTGTTAGATAGGAGTGAATGGAGACAAATGGTTTTTAGGACTTGATGTGCTGTTGGAGTGTGAGCAAGGTAACATTTATGAAGGGATTTCAGGGAAACTTGCAGGCCAGACTTGAATCCTGGAGATGGGAAGTACAGTGCCTGCACTCCGAAGGAGTTGTGTTAATGTTGCAGTTTTATAACTGTAGTGTAAGTGTGCCTCTGGCAAGACAGTGATGGAGTGACTGACGGCAAAAGTTTTTCTTTTTTAGGCCACCCTACCTTGGTGGGAAACTGCTGATGTGCTAATAAAAAAATAAAAATAATACAGTTGCTTTACACAATGGTAAAATTGTCAGTGTCCTTTCTTTCTGTCTCATAAATACACAAGATGACAGGTAAATCTTGCTATCTCTACTTACACTTAGGTCATGCATGCATGGTTTGTTGT